TATAGTGAAGCAGGGCCGAAGGCTGAAACTCACTCCGGTTTAGACGGAACGGAGAAACGAGGTTGGATTCTGCAACTTTCTGACTAGAAAGATTTGTCAAATTGGAATGTTATTTCTTGGTGGCTTAAAAACGCGAAATCATTCATCACACACTCGAACGTGCTTTGTCGGTGTTCCTATCCATTTCCTCATGCTATCACACGTAACCTTCTCTTCTCTATACTACTTCCCAATTAACTCTGTGCTCTCTCTCTTTCCTCCTCTGTCCATCAGCGCTACAAGCAGCAGTGTCAATCTTCAGAGAGGCTGCAGCTGGGGGCACCTTCCTTCCCGCCTTGACCGCAGACCCCTTCACGTAAGAACAGTGCGAGCTTGTTCTGATCCCTACGTATGGAACATGCCCGTTCACAATCCCGACACCCATAGTCTTGTTGCAATCCTTGTAGCCTATGGGTGTCATGATCCCTCTACCATTAGAAATTCAAAAAGCTTGAATGTGGGTTTCAGAATCTTAAGGCCTAATACTCGTAAACCTGTGGGCCTTAGAATCTTGAAATGCCTTCTCTTATGACCCTTCTTTGCGAGTACTCTTGTAACAAGCTGAGACTCCTCCCATTCCCTCCTTTGTTAGGTGTTATATGGCAAATGTCAGCTGTGTTCTCGCATGTCCCTCAAAAGTACTCCTTTTCCCCCCCTTCCCTTAGGCATTAAATGAAGAGCTGCATATTCCTAGGCACCTCAAAGGTACATCCATGCCTTTAAATCCTCTCCTTTTGCAGGTGTTACGTGGTGGGCTGCACGCCCCGTGTCGCGGCTGTTGCAATCCTCTCGCTGCTTCTGTGCCTTGCCTCGTCCTCCATTTTCGGCCGTGATGCCGCGCCACTGCGCAACCTCCTCATTGTCACAAAACTGCAAGCAACTGTTGATGCTCTACCACATGAACCATGCCCAGGCCTCCAAGGGACGATGGAGACAATGCTACAAGTGCTAGGGCTGAAGGGAGAGAGGCTGCATGGCACGAGCGTGCTGCAGGGGCTGTGTGTTGACAAGGAGGACCTGCGCCTCTGGCTTAAGACGCAAGCTGCACTCGTTTTCGGGAAGTGATATACCCAATCCCATCGCAACAGTAAAATGAGGCAGGGAGAAGATAAACTGTTCAGCTCGCGGAGTTTTGTTTCGTGCGGCTGCATTTTCGTGGGCCCCCAATTCCCGCGTCGCTCATCTGGGCCTTTTCCCCCAAAGGTTCCGCTTGTGCCTGGACCCCCGACTTGGAGTCAACGATGGTTGACTCCGAGTTGACCACCCCGAACTAGAAACCCTAACTGAGAATTTCGACCCCCCCCTCCATCCCTTGGTGGATCCTCTGTGCTGCCGAACATCGCCCTGGTGAACCCGGTTCAGAGTGCCGGGGAGTGCCGGGGATTGCCGGGGAGTGCCGGGGCGTGCCGGGCTCGACCCCGGCAAAGATTTTAGCAACCATTCCAGGTGTGATGTTGGCCCTTTCCTGCCCTGTGTCCAATCTAACTTGACTATATGGCGAATAATTAACTCGGAAAGCATTCGCGGCGTGACTTGATAAGCCGATAGTTGTCCATCCAATGTATAGACTGACCGTGCTCGGACCTTTCGCCAGCCTTGGCCGAGTTCGCCACGTGCGGCACAATTTGTTGACGAAAAAAAAAAAGCATCGGGCAGCCATGTGCTCCTTCGGCACTCCAGTGGTTGAGGGAGATGTGGCAATGGGGAAGTCAACGACAAATAGTAACACAGCTTCGAAGTCAGCCGCCAAAGGAAGCAGAGGGATGTCAACCCGAATGTCAAGCCGACGATGTCAACTTCACATGAACACGATCCATCGAGTCGTACGTAATCCCCTCCCTCAAGCTTCAATAGTTTGTACTCGGAGTACATACATCGTACGTGTACTGAGATCGCGAAGAAAACGAAAAATCAGACGCCCTTTTTTTCACTAGCAACTTGAAAGCTTCCTAGTCGCGGCTCTTCATCCTTCAGACATGGAATGAACGGTGTTGCTTTCCTACTACGTTTTCATCTGTGAGTGGGCATGCATTTGAACTCAAGCAATTTCTTCAAGTATATCGCCCCGTATGTCTCAAGTCGGACATGTTTTGGTCACCAAACCTGTGTGATTGAGCGTCGGGTGTAATGATCTCCATGGGTGCGGCGGCGTCTGCAGCGTTGCTCCAATCGTCCTCCCCGCCGTCTCTAGCGCCCCTACGGGTCTCACTTCGAAGCCTCAAGCCTGTGGTGAAAGGAAAGGTTTTTGGTGAGTGTTTCCGAAGCACTTGTAGTAATAGTACGAGTCCAGCCCGAAACATGAAGCCAGTGTTCACTTGTATTAGTACGAGTCCAGCCCGAAACATGAAGCCAGTGTTCACTTGCAATAGTACGAGTCCAGCCCAAAACATGAAGCCATTGTTTACTTGTATTAGTACAAGTCTAGCCCGAAACATGAAGCCAGTGTTCACTTGTATTAGTACGAGTCCAGCTCGAAACATGAAGCCACTGTTCACTTGTATTAGTTTGAGTCCAGCCCGAAACATGAAGCCAGTGTTCACTTGTATTAGTTCGAGTCCAGCCCGAAACATGAAGCCAGTGTTCACTTGTATTAGTTCGAGTCCAGCCCGAAACATGAAGCTAGTGTTCACTTGTATTAGTTCGAGTCCAGCCCGAAACATGAAGCCAGTGTTCACCTGTAGAAATCCGGCTGTACGAATCTTAGTACTTGTCCCATACCATCATGTCTAACCTCCCCGAGCTTGACTAAGAGGCCTACAGATTGTGCCCTCTGAAGGGCCACCGACCATCTCTGTCTGAACTGGTGCAGAAACTTCGCGGCATGAAAGGATTTTGAGTCGGCGTTGAAGTGGCGCCGAGCCGCCGTGTCTGCTAAGAGCTTCAGAAAAACAGGTACCTCGGCACAAGGGCAGCCGTAGGTTTCCACAGCCAGCGGGAAGAAGCTAACCGTATCTGGGCGGTTAGCGTAGTGCTGTATCTTTTTGTCGGCTTGCTCCCTTGCCGCCCACCCCCTGCCTTTCTGTGCTTCAGGGTCCCTTATGCTGATAGGGTCCGTGATGGTCACATCACAGACGTAGACTGCCCCGCTACTACGGTCTGTCATGGTGAAGTCAGCGGTTTGCTCTTCAATGGGACAGTGGGCGGCTGATTCCCTGTGTACGATAAACCCCGCGTCCTGCGCCATGCTGACGCATGCGTTACGCAGTTCGTAGTGGGTATTGATGCGGTGCCTACCCGTGCCGCAGCGAAAGAGGTGATTTGGGAGGCGGGGGTTGGTGATAGGTGTGTGGTCAGAGCAGTCGCATTTCTTTGGCGTTGAGAAAGGGAGCCCGAGCCGAAAGCGAACGGAGTTGGCGAAATGTACCGGGCCTATTCGTCGGTTTGGGGCAATCGGAATCGCGGTTAGCCAGTCGCCGGTGCCATACCCCGTCAGTGAGAACAAACGCTGCGTGTGGCCTGAAAGTGGGTTCGGTTTCATGCGCCTCGTGGCCTGCACCTGCACGGCGTATCTGCTGCCATGCACCTTCAAACCGAGTACGTGTTGGAGTCGAGTGTCCAACCGCTTTAGTCGCTCCTATTCTAAAATTTCACGCACGTCCTTTGGCAATGCGGCTTCGCATTCGATAAACCATGTGTGTAGTGGTGTGGTGACGTCCCGTGGTGAGAGCATGTGATTCCTAGCCCGGATCAGGGCACCAAATGGTTCTAGCGCGAGGGTGGAGAGAAAAAGCGCCGCCTGGGTGAAACTCGCCGTGTACCCATATACACCTTCGACTAACGGGTCTGTGAGGCCGATGCCTCCTAGTGATGGTGGCAGTGACGCCTGTGCCCATACTCGGGCCTGCTCGGTTTCGCACGTGGGGACGCGGATATCGCATGATACTAGGAGTGCGATGAGTAGGTCCCGTCCCCACTGGCTCCAAATATCGCGAGGGAGTAGGTTGAGAGGTGTCGTACGGGCGAGATAAGCCACCCGCCTGGAGATGCAACGGGTGAGTAGCAGGGCAGCTACATGAGGGTCGGCTCGTTCAAGGAGGTGTAATGGCTTCGCCATTTCTTCTAGCTGGCTTGACAGGAATTTGGCTGCTCCTAAATCCGGCCCTAGATAGCTTCCAAGAAGCCGTACGCCTTCCCTCGAATACGGCACTCCGTGTGGAAGCTGCGCTGGCTCGACCGTCGACGCACTCCAGGCTGCACACTTATTTGGGTTATGTGCCAGGCCGATGTGGGCCAACTTGTCGGTAAAGAACGTGAAGGCCGCTACAGTTCGTTGTATCTCCCCCAGAAAGGTGACGTCATCGGCATACGCCAGGCAGAGAACGTCTGGAAATGACTCGGCCGTTTTGCGGAGTATGGGGTGTATCCCTGCTGCAAATAGTAACGGGCCGAGTGGGTCGCCCTGGTGAACGCCGCGTTCGCTCTTCAGTGGTTCGCTGCTGAAATTGGCGTCAAGATTTAGCAACGACGGGTTACCGTAGGTCAGGCGAACTATCGGCAGCAGTGGCCGTAGGCCGGGCTCTTGTAATGTTGCTGCGATGGCTTGGCGTGAGATACTGTTGAAGGCATTCAATATGTCCGCTTGCAATACCAGGCTGTTGGGACGGGCATAAAAAAACGCCCTGGCTGCGTGGATTACCGCCTCTGCTCCTCCTGGCACTGCCACTTCGTATTGAAGGGGTAAAAAATGTTCACGGGCAGCTTCCCCTATGGTTGCAAGGGCTGCTTTGGCTGCCAGCCTAGTCAGACATTCTCCTATCGCGATTGGCCGCGCGCCACCTCCAGGTTTGGCCAGGGCAATGAGACGTGATGCTGTTAACAGGTTTGCCACTGAGCCTGGTAAATTTCCCCCCAGAATTGTATTTACCAGGGCGTGGAGATGGGTGGAGATCGCTGCATTTGTAACTGCCACGTCGCACAGATGTTCAAAGGTCGTGCCTGACGGGCCGCCCCCCACTCCGTTGTCACACCTTCCCAAAAGTTTGGCAAAGTCGGCGTGATTGATGGACAACGTTGACCCCCCTGTCGTTGGCCAAGTCAACCCCGCGTGTGAAGCAGGTGGGTGTTTTTGGCGGAGGTCGTCCAGGATTTCTGGGCTCGGTGTGCAGACAGGCATGGACTCGAGCGCCAGCACCGCTCGGCGCAGACTGCCACGTTTCGCCAGGCCTTCGGCTCGGCTTATGACCCCAGTTGGGTCGGGTTGGTGACGTGGCGGTGGAGGTGTGTTGACCGCCTCTACTGCGTCTAGATACAGCTGCTCCCATTCGCCACGCTGGAAGGCCCAGATCCGGGCTTTGACCTGCGGCTAGTTTGGTCGCTGTGGCGAAGTCTGGCGAAGTGTTAGGCGCGGGAGAAACAGGAGCAGGCGCCATCCCGTTTCGGACTCTGGGTTTCGCAAAAGGTGGAGCAGCGGTGTGAGTAACGCCAGCGAAAACAGCTGACATATATTTGGCGGTAGGCGCCGTGTCAGCGAAGGCTGTCGACTGTCGCTAAGAGCTTCGATGTCCCAGTGTTCAATGGCAGTGAACAAATCTTCCCGCTTTGCCAACTCGTCTGACAAAAAATAGCGGGGGATGGGTGTGGTCTGGCGCGTCGCGACCTCGGAATTGGCGGTTCGATTTTGCCGAGCATGGCGCGTCCTTGCTGGTGGAGCTGAAGTTGGAATAACCCCCATCCGATCAGCATCGGACGGTCCCGGATCAGCGTGTGGGTGTTGCAGGGCTGGGCTCCCAACATCCACTGTCCTTCTCCTCGCCGTCTCTCTCGTCCCGTCTTCCCCCTCCGACTCTCCTTCCTCGCTCTCACGTAGAGCTTCCTCCCTATAAGTAGGGTCCCGTAATTCTTCCTCCTCGTTAGCTTCTTCCAGAGCTGTTAAAGCCCTTCTTGCTGCTGCCTGGTACCCATTCTCCGGGCCTCCACCTGTACCACTAGCTGCCTGCCTCCTAGCCCCTGGGCCTCCTTGTACGAGCGATGGTGATTGCCGGAGCTGACGGGCCGTCGCCAGAGCGCGCTGCCGCCTGGTCGGCTGTGGTCGCCACGCCCCATTCGGGCCCCGAAAAGGTGACCACGGCGAAAAAGCCCCCTCTACCGCAGGCTCCGAAGCCCGTGTCAGCAGTCTCTGAAACGATTCTTCCCCTCGCACCCGCAGCTCCCCTTGCCGCTCCCGATTCTGGCCCGTCTGCCCCTGTTGCTGTTCCGTCCGGTCCGGCTGCTCTTCCTGCACCCCTTGCCGCCGCTGTAGAGCCATCTGTTCCTGCCCCTGGTCCCGATCCTGAACCGTCTGCGCTACCCGCAATGTCTCTCTCTCTCTCTCTCTCTCTCTCTCTCTCTCTCTCTCTCTCTCTCTCTCTTTCTCTCTCTCTCTCTCTTTCTCTCTCTCTCTCTCTCTCTCTCTCTCTCTCTTTCTTTCTCTCTCTCTCTCTCTCTCTCTCTCTCTCTCTCTCTCTGGCTCTCTCTCGCTGCATAATTCACCAGTGTGGGTGTGCCATGACAGTCGCATGCATAATTCTCCAGTGTGGGTGTGCCATGGAAGAATTACTGGCCATGACAAGTCCTGTTGATTGGTGTCCTCACTTCTTTTTCCCTTATCTGTTGGGCAAGACTCCAAAAAACGCTTTCTACTTTGTGAGTAAGTTACACATGGGCAACATCCGGTCGGGGGGGGGCTTCTCCTTGCGGGGATAACTGCTGCAACGGGAGCTAGACTACGGGCTAGGCACGTGTGCTAGTGTGATCTCTACGTTTGTTAACTTAGTCGTTTTCTTGTGTTCACACTGCTTGCTAGTTCACGGGGAGAATTGGCAAGAGTTTCACTAGGAAAATATGACAACAATGATGGCAACAACATTGGCATCACAGACTACATCAGTGCTAGCTAGGCTGCTGGTCGGCCTCCAGCGCAGCACGGTCGACCGCGCTCTAGCGCAGCAGCGCTCGCACCGCTCCAGCGTTGCAGAGTAGCGGTTCGCCAACGTTGCAAGTCCACGGTGTGCTAGTGCTGCAGCAAGTCGGCTGCACAGCGTTGCACTCGCAGGACAACGATGCATCTGCTTCACAGGTGCGCACAGCTGGTTGGTGCGCGCTTCCTTGTCATGTGCACAGCGCAGACGCCTGGCAGAATCCACGCCAGTGACTGTGCCCACCAGCCACGTCGACCTCGGGATACCACCCCCGAGGTCGGCCTCGCAGACTCCACCCTTGCGACACTCGCGCACGTCGCTCGGGTATTCCGGTCGACCGGGCAACCACGCATGGCCGACCAGCGCAGTCCGTAGTCGGCCACGGATGCCCGGCGTCCCCAGCCCGGCGTCCAGGCGCCCAGGACGCCTTCCGAATCCCCAGGTCGGCGCCCAGACGCCCAGGACGCCGAGCAAACCTCCAGAGCGGCGTCCCTCCTCCCAGGACGCCGACCAGATGCCTGGGTCGGTGTCTGGGCCCCCCGGGACGCCCAGGTCGGCGTCCGGACCCCCAGGACGCCGTGCAGGCGCCCACGACGTCGATCAGGCGCCCGAGTAATCGTGGCGACGCCAAGCTTGGCGTCCAGCTTCCCAGGACGCCGTCCAAGCGTCCGAGACGCCAACCAGGTGTCCAGGGCGGCGTCCTCCTGCTCGGCGCCCTACAGCCAGGCGCCCTCCACCTTGGCGCCCTTGCAGTGGCCCCCGTGCTTACTGCTGTAGGTCGGCTGCAGCCCCCGCACATCTGATCACAAGGTTGGCTCCGCCCAAGTGAGGACGGGGCCTTACAACGCTCCCGTTGACAATCCTCAGTTCGAAGTGCTACCTAATGGTCAAACGTGCCTTGGAGGCAATTATATGGCGGATCAAGTGGGACAATGGACAAACACCACAACTCAGCAGGTTGGTAAACTCAAGCGCTACAGCTTTGTGGCATCATCTTTTGAGCAGGGATCAAAGGTAGATGTGAAAATGTTGATCCGGACGTACGTTAATACCTATAAGGGTGGAAATATTGTTGTGTCTCATCCAAAGAACAACTATGCACTCTGAAGGCCGGCGAAGAAGTAGAAATGTTTAGTGCACTGTTTTGTATTAGGCAAGAGTTTATGGTTCATAATATTGAACACTGTACAAGTGCATGTATGGAAACACAAACACTCCCCTCTTGTGCCGCTTCTCGCATCCCTCCTGCCTTGTCGCCTTGTCAAGCAAGCCATGCAGAACAAAGAATGGGCAAACGAAGGGATTGGGTTGGGTTTTCTTCCTCCGTCTGCCGCCTCACCTTGAACAGATAGCTCTTCGCTATCACCTCCTCCACAAGAGAGAGGGAGAGAGGGGGAGAGAGGGAGGGAGGAAAAGGGAGGGGGAGAGAGGGAGAGGGAGGGAGGGAGGGAGGGAGAGCTGGCACGACCGGGTTTTGTGCCATGCAGTCTAAGTCGTATCGCGGGTCACGGGTTGCGTGGACGGAGAAGGAGCCCCGCGAGTGGTGGATGGTGGTTGCCAGTGTGTCATGTGCTTGCTGGTTCTTGCCTGTTGCCTCTAGCTGGTAGGTTGTGTGTGCTGCTGCTGCTGCTGGATTCAGCTGCAAGGTTCGGCGGGCATGAGCATGAGAAATGGCAATACGAGCAGTTTTTGTGCTGTTTCCTTCACTCGGTGTAGTTTTTGTGCCTTTTCCTTCAGTCGGTGCAGTTTTTGTGCTCCAAGGGACCGCGAAAGGCTCGACACGCATCGATGCTTGTGGGGCAATGGAGGCAATGCTGCGGGCTCTAGAGCTGAAGGTAGAGACGCTGCATGGAACGAGCGCGCTGCAGAGGCTGTGTGTTGACAGGGAGGAGCTGCGCCTCTAGCTCAACACACAGGCTGCTTCTATGTTCCTCATATGATGGTGTGAGCACGTGGTGGCATGGTGACATGGCGTGAGTGCGCTGCAGGGACTGTGTTTTGACAGGGAGAACATGTGCTTGCGGCTCAACACACAGGCTGCTCTCGTGTTCCTCACGTGACAGTATGGTGGCGTGGCAGCATCACGGCATGCTGGCATGACTGCATGGTGGTGTGGTGGTATGTTGGCATGACAGCATGGTGGTGTGGTGGTATGTTGTCATGACTGCATGGTGGTGTGTTGGCATGACTGCATGGTGGTGTGGTGATATGTTGGCATGACTGCATGGTGGTGTGGTGGTATGTTGGCATGACTGCATAGTGGTGTAGGGATATGTAGGCATAACCGCATGGTGGTATGGTGTCAAGAATGAAAGTGTTGGTTCATTGATGTGGGTTGGGGTACATATAACGAACCCTAACATCTGTACCCCCTAAAACAAACCTCACTACGGGCTACAGCATTTGACACACCCCTAAGTGAGGGGTGTCAAGCAAAACCAAAAGTGTACGGTCACAAGACCACTTACAAAGGGTCAGGGTGGATCACAACGTCACCACACACTCTGAGCACAAGCAACAAGGGCCACAAGGCGAGTTCAAGAGTTCACAAGTGTGTATAGCAAGAGTACAAGCAAAGCAAACAGTAGACTCAATCCTATACACGACTAGAAACTGTGTCAACAAGGCCTAACTGCACACAACACCTCTGGTGGTCACAAGGGGGAAGCGCCTTGGTGAAGATGTCTGCAGTGTTGGCCTCGGACTCCACAATCTCGAAGCGAGCCTGTCCACGTCTCTGCAACTCTTGCAAAAGAAAGTACCTGCCGTTAATGTGCTTCACTCTGCTCTCCAGTCGCGGCTCTCGACAAAGGAGAATCGACGCCTTGTCAGTGAACAAGGTCGGTGCAGAGCTCGGCCGCTCACCAAGGTCGGCGAGCAAGAAGGTCAACCAACGCAGCTCCTGTGCTGCCATGGCACCAGCGTAGATCTCAGCCTGAGCTGTAGAGGTCGAGACCAAAGAGGGGCGCGTGGATCGCCACGAAATAGCTCCAGAACCCAAGATGAAACAGTACCCCTGAGTAGACCTATGAGTCTCAGTGTCGTCAGCGTAAGAAGAGTCACAGTGACCAGTAAGTACGAGAAGCTGCTGCCCTCCAAGAACTAGCCCCACGCCTGATGTCATCGCTAGGTACTTCGCCACCCTCATAGCTGCCGTCTAGTGAACAGGACGGTGTCTCCCTAACGCAACAAAGCGAGCAAGGATGCTGAGAGGGAAGGCGAGGTCTGGGCGAGTGCAAGTCATCAGGTACATGAGGCAGCCCACCAGCTCTGCGTAGGGACCACTAGACTCAAACGGCTCGTCAGGAAAGGGTCCAGTAAGTCTGTGGTCAACAGCAAAAGGTGTGCACTGTACTGTGGAGTGCTGAAGCTCGAACCGCTGAAGAACCTGCTGCACCATGTGTGACTGTGAGAGTGTAATGGTGCGAGCAGCTCTGACCCTGGTGATCTAGAGGCCAAGGTAGTGGCGCAGCTCATTAAGGTCAATGCACGTGTATCTCTTTTGCAGTTCAGACTTCATGTATGCCAAGGCAACCCTGTAAGCAGTGGCGAACACCAGGTCATTGACATAGACCAGAACAAAGAACGCTGTGGAGCCACGGTGAACGAACAGCGATGGGCCAGCAGAAGACGGCTAAAACCCAAGGTCAGAGAGGGTAGAACGAAGAGTGTCGTGCCACTCACGAGGAGCCTGACGAAGAACGTCGACAGGTCGCCTCAGCCTCCACTGGGTCCCAGGAGGGAAATTGTCAGTGAAGGCAGAGGGATGACGCAGCCAGACCTCCTCGTGTAAGCTACCCTGAAGGAATGCAGTGGAGAAGTCGAGAGAGTGTAACTCGTAGTCTCTCCGTGCTGCTACGTGCAGTAACACCCGAAGAGTGGTCATCTTTGGGGTAGGCGTGAAGGTCTGAAAGAAGTCAACTCCCTCGCGCTTACTGAAACCTCTAGCCACATAGCGCGCCTTGAATACCGGAGGTGATCCCGGTGGCCGCTTCACCCTGTAGATCCACATGCCATCAACTACGTTCGCCCCGGGGGGGGGGGGGAACCTCGTCGACGTAGGTGCCTGTGGATCTGTAGGAGGCCATCTCTGCGTCCATGGCAGCTCTCCACTGAGAGGCCCAAGGCCCTGACACTGCCTCAGCGTAAGTGCGAAGAGTCGGTATGTCAAGGGCGTCGGGGTCTCCCTCGCGGGCGAGCAGCATGACACAGAGATGTGGGGAAGCGGCTGCCAGGAACTCTAGCTCAAACTACCTGTCCTCTAGGGCGTCACACCTAGGGGAAGACTCACCCCAGATGGCCAAAGGACTGGTAGGAGGAGCAGCCACAAGACCGACAGAAAGAGACAGGGACGAACGAGGCGGACTAGAACGAAAGAGGGCAGTACGAAGGTCAGTAACGAGAACAGGAGACGAAGGACGAGCACGAGGGGAGCAACGAGAGGCCCAAGTCGGAGGAGGAGGGGACAACGGAGGCTGAGAACAAGGGAGAACAGCCGGGGAGGGGTCAGGAGGAGGAAGCAGAGGACCCGAGACGGGAGAGGGGGAGGAGGAAGGAGAGCGTGAGGGGAGACCGAGGGCCCGAAGACCAGAGATAGGAGGAGGAGGCGGCGGTTGCTGCTGCTACGGCGGCGGCGGCGGCTGCTGTGCTGCTGCGGCGGCGGCTGTTGCTGCTCCTCCTGCTGCTGTAGCGGCTCCAGCTGCTGCGCCTCCTGCTGCTGCGGCGGCTCCAGCTGCTGCTGCTCCTCCAGCCGCTGCAACTCTCTCTCCTCTCTCTCCAACTCCAGCTGCTCCTCATGGGCACGACGAACACGAGCTTGGTGCTGGGTCGGGTAGGGGTGGGGGGGAGGGGTAGTGTCGGGGGCTGCGGCAGCCCCGGGACCGCCCTCCAAAGCACCTAGCGCACCACCCCCAGAGTCAGCACCACCAATAGCAACACGACCATGCTCACCAGGACCCAAAGACGTAGCACCCCCAGACGTAGCACCCCCAGACGTCTGAGGGTGCACCCGCACCCCCAGACGTAGCACCCCCGAAGTCAGAAGGGCCAACACCAGCTCCCGAAAGACAAGGGTCTCCTGCAACCACAGGCTCAGCTTCAACTCCAGCACCCCCAGAGCTAGCACCTATAGGGCCCTCTCCATGAGCACCGGCTCCCGCAAGGTCTGCAGCAGGCTGCGAGGAGGACTGCGGGGAAGGAGGCTGTACCTGAGGGGCTACCAAGGGGGGAGGGGTAGCCTGGGACACACCTGACGGGGCGGGACCAGGGGGGGGAGGCTGTACCGGGGGAGCAGGAGGGGGAGCGGAAGTCAAGAAGAGAGAGGGAGGAGGAACTGGGAGACCTCGGCTGGGGTACCTAACGTAGTAGGGGGTGGACTCCTCGAAACGGTCGTCACGGGAGTCAAAGAACCGGTGAGAGGGAGGGTGGTAAAAGGTGAAGTCAGAGGAGTCCTCAAGGAAACCAAGGAAGACACAAGGAACGGCGCGAGGTGAGAGCTTGTCCGCGGAAGTGACGCGGACAAGAGCCAAGCAACCCCAGACACGAAACCTCGACGCAACACCAGGGGACCCGGTCCAAAGACTGGTCGGTGAAGCCTCTGGGTGAGAGACGCGTGGCCAGAGGTTCAGCTGGTGAGCGGCGTACCTAACCGCGTAGAGCCACAGAAAATGGGGGGCACGGGCGTGAGTCAAGGAGGTGCGGGCGATCTCCATGACCAAGCCTATGCGGTGCTCAACAACCCCATTCTGTTGTGGGGACTCTGGAAGCGTCCAGGACTGACGAATGCCCTGCTCACGACAAAATTCAGCGAGAATGCCGGAGCAAAACTCGCCCCCACGGTCAGAGTGAAGACAGCTGACACGACGACCACACGTGCCCTCAGTGGTAAGCAACCACCTGATCAGCGTAGACGTCACCTCAGACTTCTTCGCCAGGGGGAACACTGTGGTGTAGCGGGAGTAGTAGTCAACGACCACAAAAAAGAAACGCTCGCGCTCAGGGCCAAGGCGAGGGGCGGGGCCCCAGTCGTCCAAGTGGAGCGTCTCAAAAGGCTCGGTGGCCGGACGAAGGGAGGAGGAGTAAGGGGTGGCGCACAGCCGACCCTCGAGGCATGGACCACACAGCGGTGCAAGCGAAGGCGGCAGCGACGGCAAGACACGCGAGAGGCCTAAGACAAGATGCTAACGAGACATAGCGCGCAGACGAGGGAGGGATGGTTGTCCCGTCCGGTGGTGCCACAAAATGGTGGGGTGTGCAAGCGACCGGCAGAAGCATGACGCAGCAACTAGACCAGACACGGGAACCTGGCCAGACACAGCTACCTGGGGGGACGCAGCAACCTGGTGAGACGCAGAGACCAGACTAGGGGAAGTAACCAATGTCGGGGGCAGGAGTCGCTGTTGCTGCCGCTGCCGCTGCTGCTGCTGCTGCTGCTGCCCACCAGGGCCAGTGTAAAGTGTGTAGAGACCAGAGCTTGGCTTGGCAGTAAAGGTGGCAAGAGGCGAGTAAGTGTCGACGTCAACACAAACCGCCGTCTCACCTGAGGGCTCAATCCACACACCCACGTGCTGACTCACAAGAGGCCTCACGCCCACCAAGTTCCTCAAGAACAAGGGGACGTGAAAGCCAGTCAGAGACCTAGAAGGAATAGCCGGTTAAGGAAGAGTAGTAGTGTAGCGAGCAGTGACTGGTCCCGAGGTGGGATCAGTTAGGGCCACAGAGACTAGCGCAGGAAGTGGAGTAAGTGTCATGTGGTCGCGGAAGAAGTAGTGCGAAGCCCCAGAGTCCAGAGTGAAAGACAGCGAAGCGTCCCCCAAAGTAGCGCCTGGACCAGATTCTACACAAGTGCCTACACTAGCAAAAGGCAACTCAGCAAGACTAGCACCTAAGCTAACAACACATGAGTAAACAGCGTCAGAAGCACTAGAGTCAACAAAAGCATACATAGCATGAGGAGTTCCTAAGAGATCAAGCAACTAAGAAGCAGACATGCCCCAAAGAGCGGAGCCGTACGTCTGAATAAGAGGTAACTAGTCAAGGGCAGGGCCGCCAACGCCGAAGGCTTAGCGAACCGTGTCAGTGAGCTGAGCAAAGCACTGACCAGGAGGGTGGGTGCGACCACAAGGCTGGCCTCGACAAGCACCTGTCAGAACCGGATAGGTGCACAAAGGGTGAATAACACCTCGCTAGGGCGGACGCTGTCCCAGCCCCGAAACCTGCTGTTGCCACTATTGCTGCGGGGGCTGCTGCAAGGGGAGGGGCTGTTGCTGCTGCACGTGCTGCTGCCGCTGGGCCAAAGAGGAGGGAAGTGCTGCTGGAAGGCCTTAGCGTCCGCGTGGGTCCCTCTGGGCGCACGCTACTGGCGACCTTCCTGCGCCCGACGACCCTATGCCTTTAGGCCTTGCCCCTGACGACGCCGCCAGAGACCGCTTTACCGGCGAGCATGCTGACCTGACGGCGTGGAAGTCGCGTGACGCTGCGGCCTGCATCGCTCTTAGCAGCCTCCTCCCTGAGTCTGAGGAGGCCCACTTCACTCAGGCTCGCACTGCTAGTGAGTTTCTGACTGCGATCAAGGCCCACTACACTACTCCCACCACTGTCTCCCTTGGCCACCTCTTCCTACCGTTTGAACGTGCAGCACGAGAGCGACCCAATAGGGCGCTATGGGACATAGGGTAGGGCGCTACGAGACACAGAGTAGGGCACAACACTACTGGACTAGGAGGGCGCGGCGCCATGGGCAGGGGTAGCGCGACGCGACGCAGCGGGACAGGACGGGCAGCGCGACACGATGCAACGCGACGGGACGGGCGGACTGCGTGACACGGACGGGCAGCGCGACGCGACACGAAGGGACGGGACGGACAAGCAACGCAACGCGGACGGACGGGATGGGACGGATGGGACAGGACGGACGGGACGGGACGGGACGGACGGACGGGACGGACGGCGCGACGCGGATAGGCAGCGCGACGCGAACGGACGGGATGGGATTGAAGGCGCGACGCGGACTGGCAGCGTGACGCGGACGGACAGGGTGGGACGGACGGCACGAGCGGACAGACAACGCAACGGGCGCTAGGGCACGAGAGCAACGTAACGTCAGGCACAGCGGGCGCTAGCGCACGAGAGCGACGTAACGGCAGGCGCAGCGGGCGCTAGGGCACGAGAGCAACGTAACGGCAGGCGCAGCGGGCGCTAGGGCACGAGAGCGACGTAACGGCAGGCACAGCGGGCACTAGGGCACGAGAGCGACGTAATGGTGGGTGCAGCGGGCGCAAGGGCACGAGAGCAATGTAACGGCAGGCGCAGCAGGCGTGAGGGCACGAGAGCAACATAACGGCAGGCGCGATAGGAGCTAGGGGACCGTACGAGCGTAACCCCTAAGACAAACCTAACTACGGGCTACAGCATTTGACAAACCTAACACGATCATGGCGCATTCGGCATCCGGATGGAGGCAGGCGCAAGAGTATGGCGACCTTTGCGAGAGATTCTCTCTACGGTGCAGCAGACCAGCGGAGCAGGGACAGAATGGCGGAGCATCGGAGGAGCGACAGAGTGGCGGAGCATCGGATTAATGGCAGAGTGGTGGAGCATCGGAGCAGCGACAGAGTGGCGGAGCATCGGAGCAACGGCAGAGTGGTGGAGCATCGGAGCAACAGCTGAGTGGCGGAGCATCGGAGCAATGGCAGAGTAGCGGAGCATTGGAGCAACGGCAGAGTGGCAGAGCAGTGGAGCAATAGCTGCTGGTGCATCACCGAGAGCGCCAAGGCATGGATCGTGCGGAGTCTGATAGATGAAAATGCCACAAACTCGTTTCTGTGGCCCATCTTCCTCAGTCCGGACCCGCTCTAGTACCCTCGCTTTGTCAATGCAAAGAAGCCCTGAATGATGCTACCCTGACACCGCAAATAGGCTCCCTCCCCCTTGCTGCATCTAATCTTGTCCACTGAATCAGTCATACTCTTACGGTACGTCTGTCTGCTTTCAGCTAATCAGACATTACCGCGCGGCGCGTGTTCAGTAGCACCATGTGCATCACTGCGGCTTGCCCCAACCCCATCTCCCCCGACGTCTGGTGGTGCGATGACGCGTGCTGGCGCCGCTACCCGCCTCATCTTGAAGTTGCTATCCGCCATGCGCTCTCCTCCTCCGGCCTTACCGCGATGACTAGTACTCTCTCCTTTGACCTGGGGACTTTTGCGTCGCCCGCGCACCCAAACGGCGCGCGCTACACCTTGGATCTGCGTGCAATGAAGCAGAGGAATGCGGAGAGCGAGTACGCGCGGGAGATCAGAGTGGTGGAGTGTGGTGGCGGTAGTCGCCACTCGCACCCTTGGGTATTACGCGATTAGCTGTAAGATCCTAGGCGCCTCAGAAGTACATCTGTGGCCCATCAATCCTCCCCTTGCAGGTGTTACGTGGTCGACTGCACCCCCCCTGTCGCGGCTGTTGCACTCCTCTCGCTGCTTCTGCGCATTGCCTCTTCCTCCATTACCGACCCTGATGCCATGTCACTGTGCAACCTGCTCATTGTCACGGCAACGCTGCACGCAACACACGGGTTCCACCAAAGGAGGAGCCGACCACAAAGCTGCAAGGGACGATGGTGGCAATGCTAAAGGCACTGGGGCTGAAGGGAGAGACGCTGCATGGCATGAGCGCGCTGCAGGGGCTGTGTGTTGACAAGGAGGACCTGCGCCTGTGGCTCAAGTCACAAGTTGCTTCCGTGTTCCTGGCATGATGGTGTGAGCGCGTGGTGTTCCTGGCATGATGGTGTGAGCGCGTGGTGTTCTTGGCATGATGGTGTGAGCGCGTGGTGTTCCTAGCATGATGGTGTGAGCGCGTGGTGTTCCTGGCATGATGGTGTGAGCACGTGGTGTTCTTGGCATGATGGTGTGAGCGTGTGGTGTTCCTAGCATGATGGTGTGAGCGCGTGGTATTCCTGGCATGTTGGTGTGAGCACATGGTGTTCCTGGCATGATGGTGTGAGCGCGTGGTGTTCCTAGCATGATGGTGCGAGCGCGTGGTGTTCCTGGCATGATGGTGTGAGCGTGTGGTGTTCTTGGCATGATGGTGCGAGCGCGTGGTGTTCCTGGCATGATGGTGTGAGCGCGTGGTGTTCTTGGCATGATGGTGTGAGCGCGTGGTGTTCCTAGCATGATGGTGTGAGCGCGTGGTGTTCCTGGCATGATGGTGTGAGCACGTGGTGTTCCTGGCATGATGGTGTGAGCGCGTGGTGTTCCTAGCATGATGGTGTGAGCGCGTGGTATTCCTGGCATGTTGGTGTGAGCACGTGGTGTTCCTGGCATGATGGTGTGAGCGCGTGGTGTTCCTAGCATGATGGTGCGAGCGCGTGGTGTTCGTGGCATGATGGTGTGAGCGTGTGGTGTTCCTGGCATGATGGTGTGAGCGCGTGGTGTTCCTGGCATGATGGTGTGAGCGCGTGGTGTTCTTGGCATGATGGTGTGAGCGCGTGGTGTTCTTGGCATGATGGTGTGAGCGCGTGGTGTTCCTGGCATGATGGTGTGAGCGCGTGGTGTTCCTGGCATGACAATATCGTGGCATGGCAGCATTGCGGCATTCTGGCATGACCGCATGGTGTTGTGGCGGCATGTTTGTCAGAATGAACAAGAGTGATTGAACTAGGAAAGAGTTGGGTACAAGTAGGAAACCCTAAACTTAATGTATCCCATAGTAACTACCCCACTGCAGCCTAAACAAACTGTAGTAGATATGACATTTGACACATCCCCATAGGCAAAGTGGGGGAGAGCAAGGGGTCACAAGACCAGTCAAGAAGGGCAAAGCAAGCTTAGGGTGGATCACAAAGTCACCACACTCACTTAGCACAAGCAAAGGGCCACAAGGCGAGTTCACATGCAGAGGCATATATGCAACACAAACATCACAGTGATCTCTACCTAGCAAAGCAAGCATGCAGGTATATATGTATGTAGATCACAATACAAGCAAAGCCTACAGCAAGTGAGGAAAAGTGGGCACAAGCCCTAGCATGGTGCAAAAACGCTGATGATCACCAGACTGAAGTGCCTTGGTGAATATATCAGCAGTGTTGGCCCGAGTGGCCACGTAACGCAGACGAAGCTGACCACGCTGCTGCAACTCTCGAGCTAGGAAGTACCGCAAAGCTATGTGCTTCTTTCTTTGCTCCAGTCTGTGCTCCTCACACAAGGCAATGAAGGAGGAGAACGAGGCGGCTCTCCCAAGTCGGCCAGCAGTTAGTGCTTAGCTGGCAAAAGGCTGGCTGGCGACAACACCTGAAGGCTGGCTGCAATGGCGAGGTTGAATGTCTCCGCGTTGGGACTGCCCTTCTCTATAGCTTCCATCACGAGCTCACGACGACCCCATGCCGTATCGTCCTGCAGTGAGAGACATGGTTCAAGTGGACATGGATTGAAAAGTTAAAAATAAAATAAAAAATGCATCAACAAGATGGCGTTACCAGAGCCACGGCGGGAGAACAGCGAATTTACTTCTAATAAAAGGGAATCACTATGCTTGGCACATTGGTCCATGGGCCTTACATCAGTGAACGACAAACCCTTGGCTTGCATCTCCTTGAGTGTCATCATCTTGCATCATCCACTGCCACTTCCCACGCCTGTGTGGCGCTGCATGGCCATGAGCGCACGGAGCACACAAAAGTCGTGCCCGCCTTACCTCCATGACGCCCTTGGCTTGCATCTCCTTGAGTGTCTCCACAGGTGCCTCCCACAGCCCTGCCTTGCGCTGCATGGCTAGGAGTGCACGGAGCACTTCCTCCGTAACCTCCACTCTGCCATCCTCCATGCCTTTCTTCGAAGCCATGGCCCGTGCTGCATCGCCTTTCTCAATGGCCTCCGTCAGGAGCTCCTTACCACATGCCCTTTGCTCCTGCAGTGAAAGATTCGGTTCACGTGGACAAGAGTTGAAATGCGGCTGTAAGGAATGAGAGCGGTCATATATAGAGAGAGATATCTATATATTTCTTTATACGTACACACATGAATGCCATGCTCACATACATCAGTCGAGACTACAGCCTTGGCCTACATCTCCTTCAGAGTCTCCGCAGCCACCTCCGACATCCTTGACTTGCGCTGCATGGCCATGAGTGCATGGAGCACCGCTGCTGTGACCTCCACTCAACCATCCTCCACACACACACACACATACACACACACAATACACACACACATACATACACACACATATAGACACACACACACACATACACACACACATACACATATACATACACACACACATATAGACACACACACATACACACACACACACACATGAATGCCATGCTCACTTACATCAGACGAGATTACAGCCTTGGCCCGCATCTCCTTCAAAGTCTCCACAGCTGACTTCCACATGCCGATCTGGCGTTGCAAGGCCATGAGCGCACGGAGCACTTCCCCCATCACCTCCACTCTGCCATCCTCCATGCCTTTCTTCAGCTTCATCGCCTTTGCTGCATCGCCATCCCTGGCACACACTGCCATAAGCTGTCAGAACATATCTATAGCTTATACTGCTGTGTAGGCTGTAGTGGGGTATCCCATAGGGGGTACAACCCAGTTAGGGTTTCATATTTGTACTGCTTTCATTCATAGTTCACTCATTCCTGTTTTCCTACTTTCACATGGTATAGAGCGGGTCCTACCTTAGGACCGTTGTCTGGGCCCACCGACGCGCGCCCCGAGGCGCGCCCTTTTTTTTAGCGACCCCTCGGGTCGCCTTTTCACTCGCGGCCCCGCCGCCTCCTCTGACGCGGCTTTGCCGCCTCCCCTGACGTGGCCCCGCCGCCTCCTTTAACGCGGCCCCGCCGCCTCCCTTGACGCGGCCCCGCCGCCTCCCTTGACGCGGCCTCGCCGCTTCCCCTGACGCGGCCCCGCCGCCTCCCCTGACGCGGCCCTGCCGCCTCCCTTGACGCGGCCCCGCCGCCTCCCTTGACGCGGCCCCGCCGCCTCCCCTGACGCGGCCCCGCCGCCTCCCCTGCCGAGGCCCCGCCGCCTCCCCTGACGCGACTCCGCCGCCTCCCCTGACGCGGCCCCGCCGCCTCCATTGACGCGGCCCCGCCGCCTCCCCTGACGCGGCCAAGCCGCCTCCTCTGACGCGGCTCCGCCTCTACTGCCGACGGCCCCGCCGCTGCACTCTACGGCCCGCCGCTGCACCCTGCCGGCCCGTCGCTGCTCCTGCCGGCCCGCCGCTGCACCCTGCCGGCCCGCCGCTGCTCCTGCCGGCTCGCCGCTGCACCTACCGGCCCGCCGCTGCACCCATCGGCCCGCCGCCTCTTACGGCCCGCCACTTGCACCTGCCGGCCCGCCGCTGCACCTGCCGGCCCGACGCTGCACCTGCCGGCCCGACGCTGCATCTCCCGGCCGAGCCGCCCCAACAGCCGAGCCGCCAGGGACCCGAGCCGCCCTGCCGCCGAGCCGCCCGGGAGCCGAGCCGCCCTGCACCCGAGCCGCCCAGCCGCCGAGCCGCCCGGGAGCCGAGCCGCCCTGCACCCTAGCTGCCCAGCCGCCGAGCCGCCCGGGAGCCGAGCCGCCCTGCGCCCGAGCCGCCCAGCCGCCGAGCCGCCCGGGAGCCGAGCAGCTGTGCACCCGAGCCGCCCGGTCGCTGAGCCGCCTTTCTGCTGACTGCACGACCTGCCCTGCCTGGTGAGCACTGTCCCACTGACACTGCGAGCTCTTTCCCTACTGCTTGCACTGCGTCGCTGTCGTCACCATGGCTACCCCTAGTGTCCTAGCTTTTGACGCTGAGGGTCGCGCCATTGATTTTGAGGTCTGGTTAGACGACCTGCAGCTGTTCTTACAGTGCGACAGGGCTGACGACCTTTCTCTCTTTGACCTCACCTCTGGCGCCTCTCCTGCCCCTGCTGCTGATGCTGATCCCGCTGTCCGCTCTAAGTGGGCCACCCGCGATGCTGCTGCACGTCTTGCTGTGCGTCGCCACCTCCCTACCCCTGAGCGTGCGCACTTTAGTCAGTACAAGAGTGCTCAAACCTTGTACGACGCTGTAGTTGCGCGCTACTCCTCCCCTGCCACTGCTGCACTGAGCCGTCTCATGCTTCCCTACCTCTTTCCTGACCTCTCTGCCTTTCCCACTGTCGCTGACCTCATTACGCACCTCCGCACTAGTGACACTCGCTACCGCGCCGCCCTTCCTGCTGAGTTCTGCGCTAAGAACCTACCCCTCATGTACATCGCTCTCTACTACGTAGTCGCGCGCCTCCCTGTGGGAGACGTCGCTCCAGCAAGGGCAAGGGGGGCAAGGGCGCGGGTGGAGCTGGAGGGGGCGGTGGCGGTGGCGGTGGTGGCGGCGGAGGGAGTGGGGGTGGCGGCGGGGCTAGTGGCGGGGGTGGTGGTGGTGGTGGCGGCAGCGGCGGCGGAGACGGTGGTGGTGGTGCCAGCGGTGGTGGTGGAGGCAGCGGCGGAGGTGGAGGCGGCGGAGGTGGAGGCAGTGGAGGCGGCAGCGGAGGAGGCAGTAGTGGTGGAGGAGGTGGAGCTGGTCGGGGTGGTACCCAGCAGCGTAGCGGCGGTGGTGGTGGCCAGCGCTCGCACCGGCAGCAGCAGCAGCGCTCGCGGGACATCCCTTCGCCTCAGCAGCTTCGTGAGTGGTACGCTGGGCGTCAGAGGGGTGGGGGTACTGGTCCCTGCACCTACGTTCTTCGTTCCGGCGACCGCGCGGGTGAGCAGTGTGGGGGTGCCCACGCCACCCAGCGCTGCTTTGGCCGCCTGACGGACGCTTGGCGTCAGCAGTTCCCTGGGGCTAGTGAGATCCCTCGCTGGGATGAGCTTCTCAGGGCTGGTGTAGCGATCTTTGATCTTGATTTTGATGCTATCCTTACTGCTATGTATGTTGTGGATTATAGTGAGGAGAATGAGGGTTACCGGTGTTTTCAGCCCGACCCGGGCATTGGTACTGCTGCACTAGGTGCTTGTGAGGCTGCTGCTCTAGGTGCCAGTGCGTCTGCGCTCTCAGGTACTGGTGAGACTGCGCTCTCAGGTACTGAGTCGTCCTCGTCCTCCCTCACTTTCACACTTGACTCCGGAGCTTCGCGCTCCTTCTTTCGAGACCGCACTACCCTTTCGCCGCTCGCCAGGCCGGTTGCGGTCTCCCTTGCTGACCCCTCTGGGGGTCCTGTCCTGTCTCACTTCTCCACTGTCCTCCCGTGTCCGGCTGCCCCTTCGGGCACCCTGTCGGGTCTGTACCTTCCCTCGTTCTCTACGAACTTGGTGAGTGGAGCGGACCTGCAGGATGGGGGTGTTCACCAGTTCACTCCTGCGCGTCAGAGGGTGACCCACTGCACGGAGGCTCGCACAGGCCGACACCTGGCCACGTTCTCACGTCGGCCGGGGTCGAGTCTCTACACCCTGACCGTTGAGTCTCCTCCTGTCCCTGCGTCTGGTCAGGTGGCTGCGTCGAGTCAGGTACTTGCTGCTGCGTCCCGGTCAGGTCCTGAGTCTGCCCCCTGTTCTTGTCGCCTCCTGTCTCACGAGACTCTCCTGTGGCACCACCGTCTTGGCCACCCCTCCTTGCCCCGTCTTCGGAGCATGGCTTCCCGTGTCCTTGTCTCTGGTCTTCCCCAGTCTCTCCCTCCTCTCCCCTCCGGGCCAGGACCTTCCTGTGTCCCCTGTGTCGAGGGTCGCCTCCGGGCTACTCCTCACTCCTCCCACTTCCCCCCGACAGAGTCTCCCCTGCAGACGCTTCACATGGATGTGTGGGGCCCAGCCCCCGTCCGTGGGCAGGGGTACGAGCGCTACTTCCTGTTGGTGGTTGACGACTACTCGCGTTACACCACAGTCCTCCCCTTGCGCAGCAAGGGTGCAGTCACTGAGGTGCTGATCGACTGGATCCGCGAGGCTCGTCTCCAGCTCAGGAAGAGCTTCGGCTCGGACTTTCCTGTTCTGCGTCTGCACTCTGACAGAGGCGGAGAGTTCTCTTCTCGCCTTCTGCGAGACTACTGTCGTGCACGGGGGATCCGCCAGACCTTCACGCTTCCGGACTCACCACAGCAAAATGGGATTGCTGAGCGCCGCATTGGCATGGTCATGGATGTCGCTCGTACGTCCATGATGCATGCGGCTGCCCCCCATTTTCTGTGGCCGTTTGCGGTGAGGTACGCGGCGCATCAGCTCAACCTTCACCCCCGGGTCTCTCGGCCAGCGATGTCCCCAGCCTTGCTGTGGACGGGGAAGGTTGGCGATGCGTCTGTGTTCCGTGTCTGGGGATCTCGGGCGTTTGTCCGCGACTTGTCTGCGGACAAGCTGTCCCCTCGTGCTGCTCCCTGTGTCTTCCTTGGCTTCCCCACTGACGCCCCAGGGTGGCAGTTTTACCACCCCTCCTCTCGTCGTGTTCTGTCCTCCCAGGACGTCACGTTCGACGAGTCAGTCCCCTTCTACCGTCTCTTCCCCTACCGCACTCCTTCCCTCCCCCCTCCCCCGGACTTCCTTGTGCCGGTTCCCCCCCCGGTAGACCCCCTCCCCCCTCAGGTTCCTGCCCCCTCAGGTGTGTCCCAGGTAGACGCCGTTGACCCGGTCGAGGTTACTGGTGACTCTGGTGCTGCTGCGGGTGCTGAGCCTGGGGGTGCTGACTCTGGGGGTGCTGTGCGCGGGGGTGCTGAGCCTGGGGGTGCTACTGCTGGGGGTGCTGGGCCTGAGGGTGCTACTGGAGCTGGAGCTGGAGCTTCTTCGACCGTCGAGGGTGCGGGTGCAGCCGTTCCCGGAGCTGCTGGCCCTGCCGGTCCTCCTGGAGCTGGAGCTGCTGAGGGCGTTCGTGCTGAGCCTGCTGCTGTTGGTCCTGCCGCTGGAGGTGTGGGTGGCGCTGGTGCTGTCGCTGAGGGTGCTGGTGCTGTCCCTGCTGAGTCTGGGGCTGCCGCGCGGCCTCGGCCGTACTTCGTTCCGCTCCTTCAGCAGGTTCTTGGTCTTTCTCCTCCAGTAGAGGGTCCACCGCCTGTCCAGTCGCAGCCCCTACTGGAGCCTTCCTCTCCGCTGCCTGCTCCCTCTCCTTACACTGGTCCTACTGGAGGTCTTGCTGAGCGTCGTGAGCCTGCGTCTCGTCCCGCGTCGCCTGTTCGTGCTGCTCGCGCTAGTGGTCGCAGTTCGCGTCAGCGTCCTCCTCCTGTCCCTGGCACGCACCGGATGTCTTTACGTCCGTCCACTGCTCCTCTGCGTGCCCCTTTGCCTTCTCCTCCTGAGTCCTCTCTTCCTGCGCTTGCGGACCCTGAGTCGGACTCTCTTCGTGCTGCCAGTCCCACTGTCACGCGTCTGCTTGCTACTGTCGTCACTGACCCCTCTTTTGAGTCCACTGCTGCGTCTGCTCTAGTCGCTGAGCTCGTCGACTTTGCTGCTCGCTGTCGTCTCGACTACGCTGCTAGTCTTGTTGCTGAGTCTGCGTCTGTCTGTCCTCCGTCCGTCGGGGGTGAGTGTGCTCTTGGCACGGACGTCCTAGAGGACAGGCAGGAGGAGTTACAGTGTCTAGCGGCTGCTTCACCTCA